TTTATTTATTTACAAACTTATTTAATTAGGATAAGCATTAAACAAGCTATCCTATAAACTATGTCAAACTTGTTATAATTATTATTGATATATATTTTTGCTTTTTTTATTGTTTTATATTTTATTTAGATTATTAGATACTAGTTAAAATTATGTTATTTAGTAGTCAAATTATTGTCAAATTTGATTAAATTTAATAATAAAAATATTGTCAAATTCTTTTTGATTGCTACTTGATATATTACTATCATTGCAATTAAGAATTTGACAATTAAAAAATTAATAATAAATTGTCAAAAAATTTATTAATAATTTATCAAATAATTTATAAATATGAATAATTTTTTTTACAAATTTTATAAATTTTTGTCAAATAATAAAAAAATATTTAATAAACTTTTAATGAATAGTTTTGATAAAAAGTTACAAATTAGGTAATGATTTTATTGACTAGAGGATTTATCCAAGTCAGTAAAGGAGTGAAATATTATTCTCTAAGTTGCATCTAGAGAAATAGTTTTTCGACAATGGGTGAGTTAGTATGTGAAAGTCAAAATAATTTGTAAATATCTGATATATATACAATAAAGACAAGCCATGCTGACCTGACTACAGATTAAAAAAAAAAAAAAAATAATAATAATATAATATAATATATAACTCAGAATTGTAATATAATATAATGAATAATAGTATAATATTGTATGCAATCCTAAATTATATTAAAACAATATGCATAATTTTATTTAAATATTCTTTTATTAATTTAATATTTTTTTGCTGATACCTAAAATATTTAAACAAAAAAAATCAACTGAATATATTTTTTACAGAGAATAGTGTTTTTACCTTTACAATCTTCACAACTTTTCCTGCTATTGCAAACTTTTTTTACATCAACTTTATCAGAAGCATTAACAGTTTATTCAGTAATATTTGGTGCCTAATAATAGGTCCTTAAAGTATTTAGTATATAAATTTTTGCAGATTACTTATGTCCTTTTTTAAGAAACAAAATTCATAGCTCTTTACTTTAATAGGAAAAAAAATTAGAAAATTCTATAAATCAGTAATTTGAATAATGGAGAACAATTATAAATAATTCTTTTATAATTATTAATTTAAAAATTTTAATGTTTTCTAGTAAGGGACATTTGACTTTTGTTCCTATTACTTTTTTTAGAGATCTATCTTTACTGATATCAAATCTTCAATCTTTATTATAATAGTTGAATTGTTTAGAAGAAGATCATCTATTGTATTACCTAAAATATTGACATCTGAAGTTACATAAATATTAATACTGAAAGTTAAATTGTCACTCAAAACTTGAACCAGTGAGGGCATTGAAAAAAGTTAAAATTAAATTATTATTTAATTATTAAAATTTACCTTTATTATCAACTAATTTATTTAGAAATAATGAATTACATGCATGTATTAAAAAACTAGAAAGAGAAAATATTGAATTTGTAAAACAATTAGATCTAATTAAGTATATTAATAACAAGTTTTCAAAAGAATCAGAATAGCAAAAAAATGAAATAGAAAATTTAAAAAAGAAAATTGACCAGCTTAAATCTATGGAACTTGAACTTGATTCTATAGTAGTTGTAGAATCTAGAGTAGCTGATATATCAGAATCTGAAAGTTTATTGAGTTAAAAAAAAACACTGAAGAATTTACCTAGAAGAAGTAGTAAAGTGACAAAATCAGTAAAACCAATTACTGAAGATAAGCTAAAATCAGAAGAAGTGAGAGTAAAAATGAAGGCCTTAATAAAAACCATTTTTGACAAATATAAATTAAGGATAGACAAAGTTTTTTCAAATAATGTGAATAAAAAAATATTACAAAAGTTGATACCTAAATTCATAAAATCTATGGTCCTACACTTTAATTTCTCATGAAAACAAATAAATGAATAGTTAGATACTTCACATTACTATCAAAGAGAAAGATATCAGAAGGCAAAAACTAGAAACTGAAAGTGGATAATTATCATTTATATATAAATAGTTAATTAAATAAAATAATATTAATAATATTTTACATTTATACTATGAGTATTAATTTTTAATGAATAATTAAGAAAAGGATATAAAGAATTAAAAACATATAGTTAAATATCAAAGAAAGTTATCAAATATTGAAATGAATTAACTGATATAATTAATGAAACAAAGATTTATTCACTTGAAAAAAGTGAAACTGATCTGAAAAATCCACTAAAAGAAGAATAAATATATATAATTATAGTTGACATTCTGAAAAGATATTTTTTGACAAAATATTTTATGTTAAATAATTAAAATATTAATTATAATTACTTATAGTTAAAGGATTTGTTAAAATATTTGAATAAACATTCAAAATCAATTTAAGCATTTCAGCTGATTTGTAAATAATATTATAACAATTCATATTTCTATAATGTGACACTATTAGAAGGTTTGCTAAATTGGATATACAGTTTGAAAGAGATTTCAAAATATAAATAAGAAAAAGAGATAGGAAAGGATAAAGAATTGATGGTTAAATGCAAATGATGAAAAATGACTAAATATAAGGAATCATTAATGTATTTAGAAGGTGAAGAACAAATTAAGGAAAGTATACAAATGAGTGAAATTTGAGGGCAATTAGATTAAAAGAAAAAAGTAAAAAATCTCAGAAAACATTTAGCAAGTTAAAACTAATTGTGACTAGTTTTAAAAGAGTTAAGTTGAAATCTTTAAAGGGAAAAAAAAAGCAAGTGGAAGAGAAGAAAGAGGAAAGTAATAAATAATTTAGTAATTAATTTTGTAATTTTTTAACAAATTTCATAAAATTTGTTAAATCTCTTGAATATTTACTAAATTTCAATACTGGATTTGTAATTTTTGCCAAATTGTTGCCATTATAATTTTTTACTAAATTTTTTGCCACAGTATCAATTTTTTGTCAAATTTTTTGCCATAGTAATTTTTTTGCTAAATTTTTTGTCACAATATCAATTTTTTTGCCAAATTTTTTATCACAGTATCAATTTTTTTGTCAAATTTTTTACCATAGTATACAAAAATTTTTTTTTGTCACAGTATGCAAAATTTTTTTTGTCACAATATTGACAGATTTTGTATTGAATTTTTTTGTCATAATATGTTGAAATTTTTTTGTTGATTTTTGTCAATATTTTTTATGCCAAGTGGTAGTAATTATAAATAATTCGTCTATCTTTTTATTATTAATTTTTGTCAAATTCGGCAATAATTTGACAATCAAATGATATAATTTTAACTAGTATATTAAAGAATTTTAATTGATAATATTTTCTTAATAATTAATAAAAAATATTCTTTTAATTAAATATTTATAGTTTTTTAAATTTATTTTAAAGATTATATTTTGACTTTAGAAATAAAAATAAAGTTTTTTTGAATAACATTAGATTTGTTACAGATTAACTTAGAAATATACTGAGAAAACTTAATAATAAATTAAATAGATTGAAAAAATGTTCAAAAAGAAAATACATTAATTACTTTTAAGATATTATATCAAATCAATTAAAAAAACAAAATCAATTCAACAATTCCAGAAAAATAAATACTAACTAAAGTATATAATAAATTATATAGAATATTAAACTAAACAAATAAAAAATATAAATTATTAGTCATTTTCTTCTGCATGGGTGGATACAAAATCAAGACTGAAAAAAAGGAAGTATTAAGCAAAATACTAGATCTGAGTAGGTGATAAATACTTTAGACAGTCACAAGAAAATAATCAAGAATATGGATAAATAAGTTTATTAGACAGTCAGGAAGAAGGATATTTCAGAAAAGTTAACTCTTAATAAAAAGAGGTTTTTAGCAAAGGTTTTTTGGAGAACATAGAGCATTTTTATTTTTATTTTTTATTTTTCTTTTTCATATAATGCATTTGCATAGTTTTCTCCTTTTGTAATTTCTTGAATTTAGTTCCTTAGAAAATAATAAGCAGTGACAACCTGCTAACAATGATAGATAAATTAGGAGGATATTCACTTAAAATCTATCACAGAGTAAAAAACTGTTCCCAAGGTTGCACTTAGAAACTGAAGCTTTTTTTAAAATTGAAAGCCATTGATGAGTTTGTCAGTACAAGTCTTTTAGTTTAACCATGATACAATTGCCCTATGTATCTCTATTAGTTTTCATATGATTAATAAACACATAGTGCTGGCCTGACCATGGGTTTAAAAAAAAAATATAAAATATAAAGAACTTTTTAGAAAGAAAAAAAAAAACAAATACTTAAATCAATAATAATTACAAATTGATAAAACAAAAACAATATAACAAAATGATAAAGAAAGAATAATACAAATAGTCATATACAATATAAGAAAAATAACAAATAAATTAGATCCATATTATAAAAGAAATTATAGACAAGGCATTGGCATAATATAATTAAGTGAAACAAAGTTAACAGAAACAAATACTAAATAATATTCAAACAAGATGACTTCAAAGATTTCTATAATGTTAATAATGAATGCCATATACTGTACAATATATTATCTTCACAATCGCAATTTGTTACAATTGACTTGTCCAAGAAAATAAAAATAGAAACTAAAATCAAATCAGATCAAATTTAATAAAAATTATCACTACTTATTCACAATTAATATGACAAATTAAGACATAAATTACAAATCACAATATCGGTGATCTTACATTAAAGTAGTAGAACCTCGGAAATTCTTTTTGTCAGCTTACTACCAACGAAATCAAATAGAGTTGATAGAATGCTTTGAAAATTGCTTTGTAAAAAAAAGTTAAGGATGCATGCAAATAGTACAAATTATACAGAATGGTATAAAAATAATTCGTAATGAGTATTTAGGTAAGGAAAGGTGATAAGAATGAAATCAATAGGTAATGCATTATATATCATATTAATATGTTTGAAGCAATTGACGATCACTACACCTCCGAAATAAATTATAATAGTCAAGCCGTAAACCTTTATGCTGCTGTCAACTCGGCAATTGCATCTTTTCTACCTTCGATCTTCACACCCGACGCATCGACGGAGGCATCTATAGAAATATTTTGCAAATCTTTGGACAATTTGTCAACATCGACATCGCCGGACACTTCTTCGGTATGATCGAGCGTCTCCTCCGAGTTAAGTTTATCCTCCTCATCGTCACAAAAATTCGTCTCCTCTTTGGAAATTGAAACTTCACTTAATTTTTCGGTTATCTGATCTATTGTGGTGAGTGTGCGACCCAAAAGTTTGGAATGACCATTTGTGTAAAGTTCTTCTAGTTCATCCTGCAATTTGATTAGCCTATCTCAGCGTCAAATGTTTTAAATCAAAGTTCAATAACTCCAGTACACTCAAACTCTACACAGTACCTGCCACCCTATCAGTTCCGCAAGTTTCCTAACGCCATCATCACAATTTCCCTGATAGAAGGCATCACGTGTCTTTTCGGAATCGGCTTCGTCAAAATCAAAATACTAGTCATTGAGGACCAAAACGATTTTTAATATATGAATCATTATTAAGTGCAAATTCGAGAAAAATCGTGAACGATGCAGCAACATACCCCGAAGATGGGTTCGCGATTAATCAATAAACGTGGAGTGGGTGGTTCCACTTGATCAACTAAACTGGCAAACGGTTGAACTTTCAAAGAAGTTCCGATGACGATGAGAAGATCACAATAACTAGTATCCTAGAATTGCAATATTTGTTTTTGTGTGATAAGCGTCTTTTAATAAAAAAAGAAAAATGCACGTTAGCAAAGAGTTGACATTGAGATAACTTACGTCCAGGTAATCGAAAAATTTACTAGGCAAACATTCACCAAAAAATGTGATACAGGGTTTGACCAATCCGTTTTTACAAGATAAACACTTTGGTATTTCATCTTTGAAAATCGCCTCCTTAACCCAATCTGGATCGGCTTCTGTAAAACAATTAAGACACTTTGACTTAGCAAAAGATCCGTGGGCTTCAACGATTTTTTCGTCAGGTAGGCCGGCCATGCGTTCCAAAGTATCGATGTTTTGTGTGAAACATCGAAGAAGAAGGTTTTTGCGGTGGAGAAGCATTATGAAATAGTGTGTCAGTGTAGGCTGTTGGACAGGATGTGTCGCGTGAGGATCGACGAATATGGAAGGGTAGCAAATATAAAAAAAAAAATAAAAATAAAATCTATATCAAAGACGCCATTGTATTACGCACCAAGAACTTTGTGGGATATAGTTCTTTCGCCAAGGCATAAAAGGGTTCAGGGTCTTCCTAAAAGGAGAAATTAAAATAATCCGGTAAATATGTGATGATTCCATATGAAAAAATAAATAAAAATAGAAATAAAAATAGAAATTCAACCTTAAAATAACTAATGTCAAAGATGGCCTCCGGATATGGCAAATTATACTTTCGAAGATTGTTGTAGATGCCAGTACCGGGGGAGCGAAAATCAGGTATTCCTATAATTAGTTAAGAAATTAGTTGATGGTGATAATCAGGCGATTAAAAAATCTAAATGGAGTATCAACTTACCGGCAGCAGTTGAAATTCCTGCTCCACACATTACCATTATTTTTTTGGCTGTTTAGAAAGAAATCAATCAGGTCAAATACAACGGCAAAAGAAAAAACATTATTTCATTTCTGAACATTAACCTTTTCCTGATTTTATCAACTCCGCCACTGTTTCAACGCCATAAGCCATACTTTCTTCCTAAAGTAATTGCGACTTTCCGTGAGAAATGGTCGCGAGAATTATATAAAAAAAAAAGGTCGAAAGTGGTTTTATAGGTGAATATGAAAATTCCCTTCTATAACCAACCTTGCGGGGAGAACTTTTGTCGCCTTTGTTTTTTTTGTTGGTTGACATGGCTGGGCGAACTTGTTTGAAGTGAAATTATAATGCCAGTGATGTCAATTCAATCTAGGTACGCTTAAGTTGAACGAGACGAGAGTGCATACTTAATTTGAGGAGTTTCCACAATATCGAATTACGTTTCCTAGATGATTGGATGCAAGGTTTACGGCAGTATTATCAGCAGGTGCCCAAACAGTATTCAAAAAATGGTGGACTTAAAAAAAAAAAGTTCACATACTTCATTTGTAGATCAAGGTCAAGTCACGACAGATCACAAACCACTATAATAAAACCCCCCAAAAAGGCACCATTGTAAATTCCATTATTTTCCCAAAATAGCATTTAAAATTTGTCACATGTGAACTTAACTTGGTACATACTGTGTGCGTGAGTTCAAAATGAAAGATCAAAACTCCGAATTTACAATTTATGACAAAGAAGATCACTAAATCCCAAATTAAAGTTCAAGGATCCCAGCACGCGGATGAACCTCATCTTCGAATCATGATTCCGATTGAAAATAAGTATTTATTATTATTATTTAGACGGATTATGTAAAAGTACAAGATATATAACATTTCTGTACAACATGAAAACTAATTGTGCGAGACCAAGTGTAAATTAAATCTTCTGTGCGTTAAACAGATCGACTGTAAAGTTAGGAGGTCTATCATTGTCTTTTACCGATTATCCAATTGATGATAGCATTTCAGCGTTGCTTATTAAATTTGACAAATTCGATGATAATGATGTGACGGATTTCATCATCACACCTTAATTATTCCACGCAAACTTTCGTACAGATTCGATGTCCTTCTCAAGCTCGCTGATGTCTTGATCAATATATTCTTGTCGTGAAAGTTGTTCTTCGATGGTCAAGTTCTCTTCACCACCACTGCTGCTATGTTCACTCTCATCGCCAAAGGTCGACGAATATACCAGCCTTCCCCGCTCATTCGTTGGAGCCAACGTGCGTTCGGTATTATGTGTTGAATTGTAATAGTTCAATGAGAACCCGGAACTTGCGGCTGAGGCAGCACTTGGTTGCGGCAAGTGTTTTTGTTGACGCATAGCAGCGATATTAAAGATCGGGGCGTTTAACTCCATCACTGATTGTCGCGGAACCTGGTCGTCGTTTGTTGAGAAGAGAGTGGTTCGAGTGCTGGCGGCATTCTTCTTATCACGCAAATTCTTTCTATCTTTGGTGGTCTGAGATGTGATGGGACCGGTGGGCATTGATGTCACATCACCAAGCATGTGATTCGATCCCCAACTTTCAGTGTATTGGGAATACACTGAACCCATCTTGTAACGCCTCGAATTATTCTGTTGAGCGGCGGATTGATCGGAAAAGTCCAAGCCCAAGTATATCGATTCGGATGCCAATGAAAATACCTCTTGATCGTCGGCAGGCAGAACGCTGGAGTCCCTTAGAGTGGTGTTATCATCTTCCAAATTATTTTCCACATCGCTGAGACGGTAATTCGACTTCTGGGTAAAGTTGAGCTCGTTCTTTGGTAATGCGTTCAATTGATTTTCGCTGATCTGGGGTTGGGAGTTCGAGAGTCCGTAGCCCAATGAATTTCGCATCCTTGTAAATGCATTTGAGAGATAGTTGTACTTTGACGATCTCCTTTTGTCTTCGGCATAATCATTGCCGCCGAATGAGTTGTCATTCCCACGGCGCTGATCGTACTGATTCATTGGTGGCGGCACGCCATACGAGTTATTATTCATCGCGCCTCCGAAACCCTGCGCGTCAAAAGTCCGCATCTCAGGTCTGGAAACCGCTGGTGGCGGCATATTAGAATTCGAGAAAGAGTTTGGCCTTGAAATAAACGGATAGTCTGACGACGTCTCAAGAGTCGAGTTGGTCTTCGATCCATAGGGTTCTTGCATCCTCCGGTTATCCTCCTCCAGCTCTTTCCTTTTCGACAAGAATCTGTACGCCCAGAACGCGATTCCTGCCAACACGAATATACCAGCTATTACTCCGGCAGCTATTCCAATTTTGCCGACAGCAACGCCGCTTCCGCCGGTGTTTGCAGCAAGCGGAACACATAAAGAGTTTTGACATGTGGAATTGGCTTGACACATAAGATTACTTGTGCAGCTGGAGTTGTTGCTGAGTTTTGGAACACACATGGAGGTAGTGATATTACAATAATAATTCGTCGTGTCAGCACAAGAGGATAGTGACAATTGTTGGCCATTGGAGAGACAAGGTGAGGGTTGGAGGACGGCGGTCGGAGTGGTTGCCGAAGTCGAACTCTGGGAAGCTGTTAGAGGGGCGGTGAAGGTCGCAAGTGATGAACTATCATCGGTGGAGGATTGAGTAGACGCCGTGTCGGGTGCGGACGAGGACGCAGGCGTTTGATCTGATGTAGAGGTTGGAGAATCTATTACCGAAGGCGAATTTTGTGTAGCAGCACCTGTCTCGACGGGCGACGGAGTATTAAGATTGGGAGATGATGTTACGTTAGGGATTGGAGATGGGATATTGACGGATGAAGGTACGGGAGTGACGGAGATAGGTGGAGGTAGAGGCGTAGGCGTAGGTGTGGATGCAGGTGTAGAAGGCACAACGGCTATATCAGTGGGAGATTGCTGTTGTGGGTTTTGTGACAGAGGTTGACTCAAAGCCGGTTGCGAATCGCTAGTACTAACAGCATCAGCTGAGGACGTGACAGCTGTAAGAGAATGATTTTATTCGAGGAAGAAAGAAATACGATAATTAGAAAGATTAGAATCGGCGAATAACAAGTGTCACGTGACCGAAAGAAGTTTTATGGCGTACGGGTCACTCGATGTGATCATGTCTGGGGCAGGAGAATTTCCAAGTAATTCGTTCCACCTCACATCAAGAGTAGATTTATATTGAAACTGATTATACAGGCTCATTCAGAATTCTTAAAGACGAAATAGTTAGTTAGTTAGTTACCTTGAGCATCGACCCATAAAGCTAGTGCGCCAAGGGCTATCAACAAGGCATTGAAGAACTTCATCTTTTACGGATCGACAAGGAAAAAACGTGTTTTCCTTCGACAGGTATGTATTGAATTATGTAAAAGGCCAATTCACCGTAAAAAGGAACGGGAACGAATATATGTGCGGGGAAGAGGAATGATAGATATGGTTTTATAAAAGGGGAGGCGAAAGAATACTCCTTGTTTCTATTATTTTTTCGTAAGCTGCTATTAAAAATTATCTGAGAATAAATAAATATAAAAATTAAATTGGAGTTTACAATAAATATGATGACCTCTATGTGATGTGTATTGTTTATTGGGAACCCTGCCAAACTGGAATATGTCGTCGCAGTTGTTCTTTCGTTTGTTCTCTACTTTGTGTAGGTTTTCTTGTTGACAATCTTTAGGTTGAATGATTTATGTTAATTTAAGAGTTTTATTTGTTGCTTGGCAAGAAAGTTGTAAGATGATGAATTGAGAAGGTGGAAATTATTTTTCATTTGTCGTCCTGCTTATATTTTCGTTCTCATAAATCCCTGGTTTTGATTCTTTGAAAACAAAGAAAAAAAAAAGGAACGACACTCAAGAAATCAAGGGAAAGGAAAAGGAGGAGAAAACCAGTAAAGGAAAGACAATAGTTTATTATAGTCAAGAAAAACTATCTAAGGTGCATGACCCAGAATTTTGTTTCGTTTATAGTTGGCGACGGAGACGACGACGACGACAGCGACGACGGTGGTGGTGGTGATGGTGGTGGTGGTGGTGGCGGTGGAGGTGAAATAAAGATAGAAACCAAAACCGGGAACAATTAATATTAGAAAAAAATTATTATATATGAAAGAATTATTTGTTATTACACAGTAGAAACAAAAAAAAAAAACGTGAGACGTATCTTAAATTGGAGGTAATTTAAGATGATTAAAAATGATAAACAAATAAAAACATACGTGATCCAAAAATAACCCGGAGGACTTGGAAAAAAGAAATAAAAAAAAGTCAGTTAATGATGAAATAACGGAGGAGGAAGGAGGAAGGAGGAAGTGAGTTAGGTAAATGTGTTCGCCGTCCCGCCTTTCGAGATAATTATTCAATAATTATCATGCTAACTGCACTGTAATTAATTTAATCTGTTGCGACGCAGTCTCTGACACAAAAAGTGAATAAGGAAGGAACGAATATATAACAAGCGAGAATCGATCGTCGCCCTTAATCTTTCACTGGGGTGGACAACGGTTTTGTTTTTTTTAAAAAAAAAGGAATGAGTGAGAATCAATCGTCACCCTCAATTTGTTATAACTCTTTTTATGAATAAATGGTGAAAATTGATAGATGAGTGGATGATCTGTTGTTGCATGTGTGCGAGTCTTCTCTTTTGTTATTGTCCTTGTGAGATTTGGGCGTATTATTGCTAATAAAATAAAATTCCGAAAGTACGTATAGGATTTTGTACAATGATTTATTTTGTGTTAACAGAGGAGAAGAAAATATTGGTGAATAAATGCCATGTTGTCATTATATATAAGATAAAATGCCTTTCATCAGGATTTTTTTTTTACTCTACGCTTGAAACGTTCATATTATTGAACGCAATTACGCAATTATTTTACTTTTACTTTACTGATCTTTAACCGTCGGATTCTCGAGGTTCATTTACAAAGTAAAGTACATTGGTTGTTTACACTTTAATGCATAAAATGTATTAACGACAAAGGATGATCAGTTAGTACCGATTTGGGCGTCTTTCTATACACCCATATAACATGTGGAAGTTCGGTCCCACGTATCCCGCACAGCAAATACCCAACTGTAAACGAGAGTAAATATATTGGATGTAACGCTGAAAATTTTACATTTCCTTATATGTGATTCTAATATCCGAAGATCTAAATGTAACAAGGGTGCGTATATCACGAAAAATTCCTATGTATGTTCCCGTAAGTTAAGATTATGATCTCCTCACCGAAAGGGACAATTGCACTTGGTCGAGTCGCGAGAAGTGTATTTACGTGAATACGAGTGGAATTTGTTTCAAAGGTTTCAAGCTTGTATGAACAGAAGAAATCGAAGAATCAATTGCTGCAAGGTAAAAAAAAAAAAAAAGAAAAAAGAAAAAAAAAGAAAAAGGCAATTATGTCAACTTCGATGCTCATTTATTTATTCATATGCAGACTATATAATTTTGCAACCCAAATATTTCCACAACTAAATATGTGTTTAATTTGGACTAGCTTCACGTTTATATTTGGTTAGCCTGCGATGAATATGTGTCACAAAAGCTTGAAGTGCGCTAGGATTTAGCAAAACGGATTCCTCCTTTATCGAATAAAAGTAGAATATAATATTTATTAATTAAAGTTTATTAAAAAAATTATTTAATATCCAGCAACTTATGAATTTTATTGTTTTTTTAAAAAAAAATTTAAAATTGCAACCTTTTTGAAACTTTCAAATCTATATACTGTAAGTATAGTTTTAATTTTTAAAAATATTAATCATCAATTTGATTATTTTTTATTAAATAATTTTATTTTAATTTTTAATTTTTTTTTTATAATATTGATTCGGCCTTGTTTTATTTATATCTATACAGTATTATTACATAGAAGCTTTCTAAGATATATTACCAGTCTACTACCAAACAAAACTCAATAGAGATAATCTCTCTTAAGAGATATCTACCTTGTGACTTGTTGTTATCCCTTTGATGGAAGCTAACCTATCAAGGCTAAACTAATGCTAAAATAAATTTTGAAGATATAAAAGTTGTCTATTGCATTTGTTATCTATTGAGACATAAATTTATTGATCAGATTTTAAATTTTAATTATTACATTATATAAATATTATTATTAAATTTTTTTTATAAAAATTTTATTTAATATATTACTTTTTTTTTTTTTTTTACTCATGATTAGATCAGTATAGTGTATTTATTAATCTTTAAAAAAACAATAAAAATATATTGAACAATTATATCATAATTAAACTAAATCTTATATTAATTCACTTATCAATAACTTTTAATTTTCAAATATGTTTCAACTTTTAAATACAACCTTGAGAACAATATTTTGCTTTATAATAAATTTTGGATAAATACTTTTCTAACTTATCTATCATTGCCAATAGATTGTTGTTACCTATTATTCTTCAAAAAACTGATTTTGAAAAACAATAATAAGAAAAAAAAAAATATCCAAAAATATACAAAATATGTATACATGAAAAAAAATAAAAATAAAATAATAATATTCTATATTCTTTAAAAAATCTTTATTAAAAACCTCCTCTTATTAAAAATCAATTCTTCTAAGATATTCTTTTTCTTTCTAACCATCTGAGAAACTTATTCATCTATAATCTTAATTATTTTCTTATGATTATTTAAAATACTTATTACTTACTTGAATCCAATATCTTGCTTATCCTTTTCTTTCTTTTAATATTAATTTTGTTTTTTTTTTTTTTAAACCACAACTGATATTAGATGCGAGCACTTTTTATTAAGAATTAACTTAATATCTTTAGATAATAAAATCTTGGACATCATATTAATCATCTCATATAAACTATATATTTTTTATATACATGCAGATTAATGATAACCTATCGCAGTTTTCTCTAGGTGGACCCACTAACCACTCTGTGAGTGGGACAGATCTAGCTAGGGGCCAAACGGTTAATACACAGTCATCGATGACGAAACAGGCTAATTTTAATATTGAGCTTTTATAAATTTTTAATTATATTCACTAAACTAGTCTGTATAGTATGTACCTGACAGGATTTAGTTTACTCTCCAATACTCTCAAATATTATTCGCTCAGACCTCGGAAGGTGGCACTTTACCTTCTTTATCACCACCTGTGACATCAGATTAGTCCCAATTGACTGATTTTCATTTAAGCAGAGCACCATATTGGGATATCCTGAGCTAGAAGGACGGGGGTTCTGGAGACTGCCAGGGCAGGAGATCTTGTGGGGCGTTTATGGTGGGTTAGACCAGAAGCCTTTCTTCATGCAATCCTTCTGGTAGTACAACCGTAGATCTCAGCCTCTGATCGACAGAAGGCCAGAAGTCCCATCTTCATATAATCTAACCTGATTAAAGCTTGTTCCAGATGATTGGGTATAACTTTCATAGGATAATCAGTAAACCTGATCAGAAGAGTAATTTTTGATTTTTGGTCCTTAAATGGTATTGAACTACAGACCTTGTAATTGCAACCTAGAAGCACTACCATTGTGCTATTGACCCACGGGTCTTTTAATATTAATTTTATATTCACTTATATTCTAATTATGATTTATAATAAATCCTAGGTTATTATATAATCTTTTAATCATATTATATAACTTCTAATATTTTTTAACAACCATATTTAGTTAAAGAAATTTTACTGGTAAGTATCTTTCATTGCTCAAAAAGTTAAATTATTCAATAATCTTTTTACCTTTAATAATAAGAAAATATCATAAATAATAAAAATTCTTGTTAATTATAATATTATTATATAATATCTAAAGAAATATATTTTTAATTCTAGAGATAAGTAATGACTTATAATCTTTTATTTTTCAATTTTACTACTTTTAAAGGTCAAAAAAGTCAAATCAAGTTCAAAATTTTTGTTATTTTTATGTAATTAATAATTGTTATATAATTGAAGCTTATACGAAACAATTAATTATCAATTATAACTATATCTCTTATAAGATAAAAGAATATATAAACAATTCATTCACAAAAAAAAATAAGGTAGGATAATAAAAAAATTTTTTTTTTTTTTTTTTTTTAACACACTAGCTCATTCCTGCGTCAGCATCGGAACTTTTATTAATTATTAAGATAGATCCTAGGAACAATCGATATGAGTAATTACCCGTACTGTCTAAGGATTTACAGATCAATGAATAGTACAAGGGGCATCTATTTACGTCTCACCCAACCAGGATAGGGGAACTATGTAACCGTCTAGTGTAGAATTTTTCTTAATTTTTAACAAAGTCAGAGGTACTGAGAAGTGTTTTAACCT